TTAGCTGTCCAATTAATTTCTTTCTATTTTTGGTAGAGATGGGGTCTCGCTCTTGCTCAGGCTGGTCTCGAACTCCTGAGCTCAAACAATCTGCCTGCCTCGGCCTCCCAGAGTGTTAGGATTACAGGCGTGAGCCCCCGCACCCAGCTCTTTGATCTATTTTGAGTTAATTTTTGTTTATGCTATGAGGTCTAAGGGTTGAATGTCATTCTTTTGCATGTGTCTCTCCAGTTTTCCCATCACAATTTGTCGAAAAACACTATTCTTTCATCATTTCTTTTTTTTTTTTGAGACTGAGTCTCACTCTGTTGCCAGGGCTAGAGTGCTGTGGCACCAGCCTAGCTCACAGCAACCTCAAACTCCTGGGCTCAAGCAGTCCTCCTGCCTCAGCCTCCCAAGTAGCTGGGACTACAGATACATGCCACCACACCCGACTAATTTTTTCTATTTTTAGTTGCCTGGCTAATTTTTTTCTATTTTTAGTAGAGATGGGGGGGGTCTCATTCTTGCTCAGGTTGGTCTCGAACTCCTGACCTCAAACAATCCTCCTGCCTGGGCCTCCCAGAGTACTGGGATTACAGGCGTGAGCCACCATGCCCGGCCTGTTCTTTCATCATTGAATTGAAGATCTTGGCACCTCTGTCAACCCACTGACTTTTAAGTTCCTTTCTTATAGCCAGTACAATGAATTTCCAAGTCCCAGACCTGCATTAAGTATTTTAATACTTAGTATTTTATTCCTCTTTTCGAGAATGATTTTATCTGTATTTCATCTGTGTCTCCTGCTTCCTTCTCCTCTTTTTCTTGGAATCTTTTAAACCTGACCCCTACTATCTTTACTGTCTGTACCCACAGGCTTATAGAAGTAGCAGGAGCTTCGTTGAAATTTTTTCTTCCTTTTTCTACTTAAAGGAAATTTGGAGTCTGGTTATTCTTTGTGTCCTAGTAATGGGATGGTGTAGATCATGTATAGTTTTGTTTATAACCCTTTTTGATCTTAGGTTGAGGTTTTTTTGAGTATTTGTGTGGGAGAACTCAGATTCTGGTGGCCAGCATTACCCTCCAGAACTTGGAAGTGCCACAGTTGGTGAATAAAGTAAATTAGTTTGCATAAATATTTTAAACTTCTCATGATGCCTTTACTGAGGTAGTCTCATTTTAAAATAGTCACTTAACTACGCCACATTAATAGTCAAAATTAATGTAATCATTAATTTGGCTGCATTTAAAATGTAGCTAAATGAAGCAGGGCATGTTTTGGTTAAAAAAATTTATTTCTGGATTGTTAAAGTCAAGTTTACAAATTTAATTTTATAGATTTTAGATCTGTGAGGGTGTAAACTATGCTGTCTTGTTTATTTTTATACTCCTAAACATGAAGCACTGTGTCTGATATGTATTAAATAGTAAACATACTGATAGAGTAAATAAAGGCTTTCATTGCATAATAAAAGGCTTTATTGCATAATAACAATATGCATGGTACCATGAGGGCTTTTCAAGTTTAACATTTATTTAATCTAAAAGCACTAATTGTTGGGGAAGCCAAGTATATATTATTGATCTTGCTTTCCTTCTTGAAAAAGTCACTTTTCCCAGGCTCTATAACAATGTATCTGCCTGATCTTCATCCTGCCTCTGTGGCTGGTCCTTCTCATCATCTTTAAAGACTCCACTTCCCTTTGCATATCTCTTAAGTGTTGGCTTTTGTTTTTGTTTTTTATATATCCTTACCTGGCCACTTAATTCACTTCTATTACTTCTGTTGCCATCTGTATAAATATAAATTTATATTTTTATCCTAGATCTCTTTCCTGAGCCCCAGATCCATGTGTCCAACTGACTACTGAGTATCTCCACTTGTATGATTATTCTTTTCCTCTTTAACTCGGATCCTTCTTTAGGATTTCTCATATCAGTGAATGGCATCGGCATCTCAGCCATTACCCCCACTCCTGACCCAAATCCAGTTAGTCAGGTATGCATTAGCTACTAAATATAACACAAATCTTTCTACTTTTCTCTGTCCTTACTCTCAGTCACTGTTAAAGACCAGGTTGCCATTATCTGGGCCATTTCAACAACTTCCAGTCCGGCTGCCTTCCAGTCCCAGTCTCTACAGTACAGCCAGAGTAATTATACTAATATACATCTGATCATGTCACTCTCTGCTGAAAATATTTGCCTCATCCATTTCAGAAAATGGAATCATCAAGACAGATAAAGTATTTGAAGTAATGCTGGCCACAGACCGCTCCCACTATGCAAAATGTAATCCTTATATGGATTCTCCACAATCTATAGGTAAGCTTTAGATTTCTGAAAATGTCACATTTTTCCTCATGTATTTTATGAGTTTTGTAAATAGAAGAAGACTAGGACACAGATATTTATTATAACCATGTTAATTTGAATTTTGTGACTCAGTAAATTTAATAATCCCAAACATATCCATTTTAATAAAATGATGTATCTTTTTCTGTTTTCTCAAACAATAAATAATATATATAAAGAATTTAAAAAATTTTAAAACATGAAAAACAAAACTTTTAATGAAAATTTACAGTTTTAGCTGAGTGCTAAGTTTTCACATTAGATTGCTTTTTACATTAGCATTAATTTTTAAATTAATATTTAAAGGAAATAAGTGGGCTTAAGTTATTACTGACTTCTCTGCTTCACTTGCCCTGATTTTTTGGCTTGTGCTTGTTTTCAGAAAGTCCCGTATTTAACTCCTTCTCCTGAAGCAGGTTTTGCTGCACTGCTGAGCCTTGGCAGTGGGTGCCTTTGAGGCTTAGAAGTGCCTCAGGATTCTGTTGGCCAGCTGCCATGCTTATCTTCTTTTGAAGCACTGTAACAGTCAGCAGAGAAGATCCTGGGGAGCTTTTGAACCCCGAAGGCACCTGCTGCCACCACTCAGTGAAAATTGCTTCAGAAGCAAAAAGAAGCCACCTAAATAAGTTTTGAGAAGGCAACACTGGAAGAAAAGAAACCAAAAGCTAAAAACCAAGAAAAGATTATGTGAATTTAACATCATCAGATGATAAGATAAAGAAGTAGTTTATGGGTCTCTTATGCTACTTTGTCAGTTGTCTGGTTTTTTTAAAGTTGCTAGAAATATGAAGCAGTTTAATTTTGCACACTTCCTAGTATATGGAAGCTTATCTTATATAAATCTGAAGAAAAAGCAAGTCAAAAATATATCAATTCTCAACTTACTGAAATTCTTCCTTTCTTAGCTAACTATACAGGAGAAGAAATTTTTAGGAATAATGGGACCTTTTTACTAGATGAGCACATTTGCCTTGGGTATGATTGTATTTTCTGTTTTTAACTGCTGTATGTCAGTACTCTAACAAATAAAAGTTTTATTTTCCTGAGATCATAAAACCTAAAAAAGAATTACTGTGAAAAATAATATATGGATGTTAGAAAAGGAATTATATGTAATATTCAATATATTTTTGTAGCTGAATGCATCAGTAGTTCTCTTCTTGTTTTGCAGGTTTCCAAGCAACAATCAGTGCTCCCCACATGGTAAGTTAACTTTGTTAATTTGGTTACAGATGAATCACATTTTTCTCCATGATCATTTTCTTCAGTAAAAAAGGTTTAAAGAAAGTTTTAAAATTTCAGTTATATCAATTTTATCATCTATGAATTATATGTAAATTGGTAATAAATATTTTATTTTCCTTTTCTGAATACGTTATTCTGCGTACATGGTCTATAGAAGGAGCTCTTTTTGGTAGAAACTGTCAGATTAAAGTTTTTGGTGGTTGTCATTACGATCTATGACATGTAAAAATTCTACATAAAAGATTGTTTAGTGATGAGTTAATTAAAGGAGAGAATATTTTAAATAGTATACTGACATGTTATAGAAATCTCAAGTTGAAAATTATTTCACATTTTATTTGGAAAATTCAGTAGAGAATAGTTAAGTATGGCAGCCCTGAAGCTGCACAGGTCCTTGAGAAGGACCTATTTTAAGTGATTTCGCATTTTTAATCTGTTGAGAATTTTCTTGGGTTTTAAATGTCAGTATTTGAATGAGTACTCTGTTGGATTTTGCTGGAAAGAACAATAGCTTTTCTGATTCTCTGCAAGTATTGGGGGTTGGATAAGCTCTTATTTAAACTTGATACTGATAAATTCTATATATTTATAGTGAATTGATAATCAGAAGAAACCCGGGAGACATTTATAAAAATTGAATAGAAATGGCTTTTTAAAATATGACAGAAAACACAGAATCCATTTTAAAAACCTGATATATTTCACAACATAAAAATTTAGGATTTCTGCAGAGAAAAAAATGTTATGAGCAAAAATTAAAGAAGAAAAATTTTTTTTTTTTTTTCGAGACCGTTTCACTCTGTTGCCCGGGCTAGAGTGCTGTGGTGTCAGCCTAGCTCACAGCATCCTCAAACTCCTGGGCTCAAGCAATCCTTCTGCCTCAGCCTCCCGAGTAGCTGGGACTACAGGTATGCGCCACCATGCCCGGCTAATTTTTTTTTCTATATATTTTTAGCTGTCCAATTAATTTCTTTCTATTTTTGATAGAGACGGGGTCTCGCTCTTGCTCAGGCTGGTCTCAAACTCCTGAGCTCAAACAATCCACCCGCCTCAGCTTTCTAGAGTGCTAGGATTACAGGCGTGAGCCTTCACAACCGGCCGGGCATAATGTTCTTTACCTTTAAAAATAAGGACTTTCTCTTATAGAACCACAGTATAGTTATCAAAGTCTGGAAATTAATATTGATGTGACACTGTTAGACAATTTACAGACCTTATTTAGGTTTCATCAGTTGTTCTGATAATGTTCTTTATAGGAAAAAATACATATCACATATGATTGTCATGTCTTTTTAGTTTTCTTTAAAGAAACACTGAGGAGGCCAGGCGCAGTGGCTCATGCCTGTAATTCTAGCACTCTGGGAGGCCGAGGCAGGAGGATTGCTTGAGGTCAGGAGTTCGAGACCAGCCTGAACAAGAGCGAGACCCCGTCTCTACTAAAAAAATAGAAAGAAATTATCTGGACAACTAAAAATATATAGAAAAAATTAGCCGGGCATTGTAGCGCATACCTGTAGGTAGTCCCAGCTTCTCGGGAGGCTGAGGCAGAAGGATCGCTTGAGCCCAGGAGACTAAGGTTGCTGTGAGCTAGGCTGACGCCACGGCACTCTAGCCTGGGCAACAGAGGGAGACTCTGTCTCCAAAAAAAAAAAAAAAAGAAACACTGAGGAACAGTTACTCATTCTTTTGTGGCCTTGAAAATTTTTATGAATGTAGGCCAGTTATTTTATATAATGTCCTCAGTTTGGGTTTGTTTGATGTTTTCTCATTATTCAATATGAGTTATGTGTTTTTGCCCAGAATATCCCAGAAGTGATCTTTCTTAGCAGAGGCATTTGAGATCAATGTGTCCCATAATTGTGATGTTAACTGTGATCATCTGATGAAGGTTGATGTTAACCAGATTTTTCCACTGAAAAACTTTTTTCTCCACTGTACTACAGTTACTATTTTTCCTTTTGTGATTAATAAGTATCTTGGGTGAACACTTTGAGGTTATATAAATATCTTGTTTATTCATCAAATGTTAAGCCATTAGTTTTGGCTTCCATTTATCATTTTTGCCTGAATCGGTTATTAATGAGATGGGTATCCGAAGACAATTTTCTAAGTTCATTTTTTCTATATTTATTAATATTGGGAACAGTTTCCCCTATTCTCCATGTATATTAATGTATGTATAGAATTATGTATTTGTCACTGTAGATTAATGGATGTGTATTTTTATCAATCAAGATCTGGTAGTAAATGTGCTACTGGATCTGATGATTTTTAATAGTGAAAACACCAGACATTTAAGGACAGCTTTTGAGATAAAATTTATTAGTTCCAACCTCATGTTTTGGAAAAGCACTGAGATGAAAGTTTAAAAGAGGATGAGGTAAGAAAGGTTTTAGTTCTTGGTTTAGTCCAAAGCATAGCAAATGTGATTTTATTTATAATTTATATATACTGTAAGCATAAAAATACATATCCTTTGGCTCCTTGAATTCTACTTCTAGAAATTTATCATCTAGATATACTTTATAAGATTTTTATATAGATTATTATATTATTAGTCTACAGATATACCTTATACGTTTATTTCATCTCTTTTTGTTATGGAAGATGGGTGCTAACTTAAATATCTCGCATTAGTGGTATTTGTTATTATAACACATCCATACAAGAGTGTACTCCTTAGCCACAAAAAAGAATGAACAGGCTGGTTAAGTGTTGCTATGAAAGGTCTTTCAAAATATAATAAATGAAAAAAATACATGTATATTTATTTGCATATGCAAAGAATGAATATTTTTGGAAGGAATCACAAGACACTGGTAACACTGATTACCTTTAGTGAGTGAAACTGGATAGTTGGGAATGGGAGTGGGGAGGGGACTTTTCCCTGTAAATTATTCTGTCTTTTACTTTGAATTAATTAAATTTAAAAACTTCACACACTAGAGATCTAAAATTACTGAAACACTTGATTTAATTGTAAGAATTCTAATCAAACAGAATTTTCTTATGTAACTCCTGTGTTGACATAAGTATATATGTTTTTATTGTCTTGGTAGATGACAATAGTAGAAAAATTGGTAGAAAGTTAGCAACTATATATATGCCATGGTGTGTATACTTTAGAGTCTTAAATTTATATTTCCCTTGTTTTCTTTTGGCAGCATGCGTATGCACTAGAACTCCTATCTGATCAGTTGCACGAAGGAGCTAAAGCTCTTGATGTAGGATCTGGAAGTGGAATCCTTACTGCATGTTTTGCACGTATGGTAGGAGCTTTATTTTTCTTTGTGACCCCCACAGAATATTATATGATTTGGCTGTATGTTTTTTTAACCTGTGGTTTTGATGTTTGTTTGTTTATTCTATTAAGATTGTTTGTTTATTAAGATAACAGTTGGAGTGAGCATCGCTTAGGATGTTGTTGCAAGTGACAGAATATTCAACCCAAAATGGCAGAGCTAAAAGGGATTTTATTTAGTTAGTATAATGGAAAAGTTTAGGGGTATATCTGGCTTCTTGTGTGACTGGATTTAGAAGACCAGATGTTGTTATTGACAATGGGTTTCTCTCTGCTTTTTGGTTTGGCCTTACTTTCCTCCACATGTTGGCTTCGTTATCAGGCAGACTCTACTCTGCCCTTGTGATCCCAAGCTAGCGGCCAGTAGCTCCCAAACTACATTCTTTCAAGTTATCACTTGGCAGAAAAGAACAAAGTTTCCAAACACTCCTACAGGTTTATTGGGAATGAAGGTAGAGCTTCTTTTACATTATAAAAAGTGCTCTTTAGAGAAATGCCTTGTTTATTATACTTCAACTTTTATCACCAGAGGCTTATCTGGTAAGCGACTATTCAGAGTATAAGCTGGGGACACACTAACGCACCTGGAGTAAAGGTTCATCTGTGCTCAGATAATCAAATCAGTTTGGTTATGAGAAATCTTGTGCCTACAGCCTAGATTGGAAAATTCTGGTCTAGTTAAGTTGGGATTTAACCTTGGACTAGAATCCGTGTAGCTTGCTGTAAATATATAATCAGCAGACCCAGTAGAATGTAAGCTCTGGGGAGGTGGAAACTTTGTCTGATATTTTTCATTGATGTATCTATCCTAAGCATCTAGAACAGTGACTGGCACATAATAAGGATTCACATATTTTTTAAAGTTATTTGCTTGTTTTTTAGAGGTTAAGTCCTCATTAATGGGTATCGGGGATTTTTTTTTTCTCTTCTCTTTTTCCTGTCACTCTTGGTTGTCTGGCACAGGGATTTTTTTTTTTTTTTTAAAGGTTAGAAATAGCATTTAATTAGTAACTTGTTCTCTATACTTGAAATGTTTATGGTTATAGAGGAATAGTCATTTTTAAAAATAAGTTTCTGAATTATCATTTTTAAAAAATTAGAGTTAATGTTTTTGACACATTTACCATGTGCTAGTCCATGTTCTAAGTGCTTTTCATGTATACTTTTATTTAATTTTCATATCCTTTATAGGGTATATATGCTTTTCCTCCTCTTTTTATAGCTAAGGAACCTGATTCATAGGAGAGGTTAACTTGCCAAGGTTATACTGTTGTAAATAAGTGATGAAACTTGGATAAGAACCCAGGTAGTCTGACTTTAAAGCATTTATTATTAAAAATTTTTTTACAACTAGTATTAATACTTGGGCCTTTTTATGTTTTTATTTATTTTTATGTTTTCCACTAATGGCGATAGAATCAAGTATAGAAACCCATTCCCTTCAAATTTTTGTGGAACATTTTAGTATTTAAAGTTATGCTTTTAGATGAAACTTAAATTAAAAATTATTGCATTACCTTTAAATGTTGGTAATTCTACTTCAGAGTTCTGGATCTAAAATAGAAATCTAAGAAAGATATAATTTTTCTTAGAATAAGTTTTTGTAATTTATTTTAGCTTTTAGATTGCTTAAATATAATTATTCAGTGAGAGTGACAGTTGAGAAAGTTGTACAGGTAAATAATTTATGATAAAGTGAGTGTTTAACAATCTGATTGGAGGCTTAAGCTGTTTATTTTTTATTTCTTGTTGTAGAATATGATTTAGATAAGGAAACACTTCAATGACACTTTGGAAAAACAAATTTAGCCCAATGAGCTATTGAATTATTTTTTCTTTTTCAGATTGGAGATAGTGGAAAAGTCATAGGAATTGATCATATTAAAGAGATAGTAGAGGACTCAATAAATAATGTCAGAAAGGACGATCCAACCCTTTTGTCTTCAGGAAGACTGCATCTGGTTGGTGAGTATCAGAAAACTTTAAAAATTTCTTCTCCAGAGGATTTTTATTTTCAAAAGATCCAATGCAAGATAAATAATACTCAGACCTAAATATCTCACTTTTTACATTCTAAGTACTAAAAAAGAAAAACAATTACTCTTTTTGCCTACTTAGTGTATAGCATTGTATCTCTTTGTAATTTTAATTTTGTATTTCTTTCTAACCAATGGGGTTGAATACTTTTTTCATGTGTTTGGCCATTTGGATTTCCTCTTTTGTGAAATACCTATTAGATATTAGATCGCTTGTATTTTTATTTGATTTATAGGGCTTCTAGCCCTTTGTTTATATATATTGTAAATTTCTTCTCCCCCTTGTGGTGTGCCTTTTCGTCTTACTGGTACCCTTTTGATAAATAGAAATTTTAAACTTTAATGTAGTCAAGACTTACCAATTTTTTCCAGTGCTTTCTGTGTCCCGTTTAAAGATACCCTGAAGTCATGAAGATATGTCCCTATATTACTTTTTAGAAGCTTTATCATTTTGGCTTTTCACATTTAGGTCTTTGATATTTCTAACATTGATTTTTGTATATGTATGAGGTAGGGGTCCAGTTATTTATTTTTTTTCATATGAATACACAATTGTCCCAGGATCATTTATTGAAAAATCTATCCTTTCCCCATCTTAAACCCCCTATACTAGAATTCTTCACATTAGGTTTGATCTTAACAGGTTTTTAAAGCATACCTTTTTTCTTTCAGTGGGGGATGGAAGAATGGGATATGCCCCAGAGGCCCCTTATGATGCTATTCACGTAGGAGCTGCAGCCCCAGTTGTGCCCCAGGCAGTGAGTTGGGATTTTATGTGTGTGTGTGTGTTTTTGTGTTTTATTTAACTAATACTCTAAAAGATGATGTTCAAAATATAATTAAGACTTTTGGGTCATGCATTTTGGTTACAGTTAGCCGTTACTCTTTTTTTTTTCATATGCAAACAATTGTATAAATAACATGAAAATTACTAAACCCCTGCTGTGACTGTCTTACTTGAAGCAATATTTGATCCAGGTAAGAACTAGGACAACAATAGAATTGGGAAAATCTCTCTGGAGTTCATGACCTGATAATCAGTTTGGTGAAGTTTTATTATTCATAAATATGAGAATATGCAAGATTATGTTAGGTGCATGAGAGACACTAGGAAGTATTTGTCATACCTTGTACCCTCACAGAGCTTATACTCTAGAATAGATGTGTCTCATATGTAACAAAGAAATTAATGATATGATAGCATATCATTAGTATGTGATATATATTGGATGGAAAAGCAAATATATGAAGGAGAAAATTTTGCATCGAGTGGTCAAGGAGGCTTCACGCAGGGATGGAACTTGAACTGAACCTTAAAGAATAGTATAATATGCATAGTTGGCAATGAGAAGGAAATGTATTCCAGTATTGTATATTATTATTATTATATTTTTAGAGACAGGGTCTTGCTCTATTGCCCAGGCTGGGGTGCAAGGTATAATCTATCATAGCTCACTATAACCTCGAACTCCTGGGCTCAAGCAGTCCTCCTTCCTCAGCATCTCAAGTAGCTGGGACTATAGGCATGTGCCCCCACACCTGGCTAATTTTTTTCTATTTGTTTTTTTATAGAGATGGAGCCTCGCTATGTTGCCCAGGCTAGTAGCGTTGCACTCCTGGGCTCAAGCGATCCTCCTGCCTCTGCCTCCCAAGGTGCTGGGATTACTGGCATGAGCTACTACACCCAGCCAGTATTGTATATTATATAGTCAAGGAAATGTTTAAGGTACAATATTGATTTTTCATTTTAGTAAAACTCTGATAAGCTTATTTCTTCCCTTAATAATTTTTAAGTTCACTGAAATGCTAGGTTTCTATTATAATATATTTTACATATTCTTGACCAGATAACCATGGGCTGGATGTGACATTGTCTTTTCTGCCCAGTCTCATCTGTTCCCCAACCTGGAAAAGGTTCTTTTTTACATGTTTAGATCAGTTATGAGAAGCTGAAAGTTGGGAAATTTGTTCTGGTTATTGACTTACATTGGCTGAATGACTGGGAAAAATCACTGATCTCTCTGGCCCTGTTGGTTATCTGTTTAAAAAAAAAAAAAAGGTAGATTAAACCAATGGTTTTAATACATTTTAATTGAAATATTAAAATAATTTTAAAAAGGGTACAAGTCATAAATGAACATCTGAATAAATTTTCACATATGAGCACAAGACCAATGGATTTTTAACTTTTTTTGAGACAGAGTCTTGCTCTTTTGCCCAGGCTAGAGGACAGCGGCTTCAGCCTAGCTCAGAGCAACCTCAAACTCCTGGACTCCAGTGATCCTTTTGCTTCAGCCTCCTGAGTAGCTGAACTACAGACACATGCCACCACGCCCAGCTAATTTTTTTAGTAGAGATGGGGGTCTCACTCTTACTCAGCCTGGTCTTAAACTCCTGAGCTCAAACAGTCCTCCTGCCTCAGCCTCCCTGAGTGTTAGGATTACAGGCGTGAGCCACTGTGCCTGGCCTTGTTTTTGGTTTTGTTTTTTTTTGGCAGCCTAGAATGAGGAGTTAAAATCTAAAATATTACTAGAACAGCGTTTAAATGAAGGGGGTGGGTATAGGGCTTACCTTCCCTACTAGGACCCTGAGGCTTTCCAGTTTTAAGGTAGCAGAGTACAGCTGTTTATGTCTCCTGTTGGATATCACTCCAAAACAACTAGAAAAACAAGAAACAGAAACCCAAACTCCATACTAATTAACCAAGAGATTATACCCGCAATCCTGAACTCCGCAGTACGAGAAAGTAGAAAGTAGATGGAATAATAGCTGACCCAGGAGGGTGGAGGAAGTGGAAACCAAAGAGACTGCAAAGCAAAATATCATGCAGAAACAGTTTGCTCTGTAAAACTCGGAAAGCGCTTAGGAATGGAAGGCATTCAGACCTTGGAATCAGAGGTGAAGCATGGGTCTGAAAAGAGGGGATGATGCTTGAAACTCTTTATAAGAAATGATTAGCCTTAAACCCCAAGTAAGAAAATTTCCCAAAGCTGACAAATTCTGTAGTTTAAAAAGCTCTACTGAGTGCTCAACATAATGAGTTTTTAAAATAAGAAAAAGGAACCATAATATCATCATGAAATTTCAGAATATTAGCGATAAAGAGAAGATTCTAAAAGCTTCCAGAAAAACAAAGCAGATCTCCTGTTAAGGATTGGTCATCAGAAAGGCATCAAGTTGCAAAATAATAGCATTAGAATCAAGTCAGGAGCAAATCATCAAAATTCTGAACTGAAAATTATTTCTAACCTTGAATTCTATATGCACACACATCACCAAATAGAATAAAGACAGTGTTAGACTTGTAAATCTCAATCTCTGTCTTTTAAAATATTCCAAGTACTATTTCACAAAATGCTTCTGGAGGAATTGCTTTAATAGTATAATCAAAATATGAGGAAATGGGTTGGTTGTGGTGGCTCATGCCTGTAATCCTAGCACTTTAGGAGGCTGAGGTGGGAGGATTGCTTGAGGCCGGGAGTTCGAGACAAGCTTGAGCAAGAGTGAGAGCCCATCTCTGCAAAAAAATAGAAAAATTGGCCAACCATGGTGTGCGCCTGTAGTCCTAGCTCCTGGAGAGGCTGAGGCAGGAAGATCACTTGAGTCCAGAAGTTTGAGGTTGTAGTGAGCTATGATGACTCCACTGCACTCTAGCCAGGGTGACAGAGTGAGACTCTATCTCAAAAAAAAAAAAAAAGGAAGGAAGAGACAGACCGTAGGAACAACCAAAAGAGGAAACCAAGTAGGACATCTTGGTCAGAAAGAGGTACAGGAATTCCCAGGATTATTGCAGAGGAAAGTCCCAGGATGAAAGCTAAGTAGCAGGCCTGGAGCCAGTCCAGATTTGGAGTCCCTAGAAGCAAGTCCATCTGCATAAGAGAAAAGAAAAAAAGCACTAATTAGATAGGTTTGACTGTGTGAAATTTTTGTTGAGAAGCTGTTGGAGTGTAGAAGGATTTACAGATAGTTACAAAGAAAATTAAGTGAATGAATGAAAAAAGCCTTTGATTTTAGCTGCAGGGAAAACAAAACTATTAATATTATATAAGAAAGGAAACAGTCATTGGATACCTCTTGGCTCAGCAGCAAATCATATTTACACAGTCATCACTGAAAATGATTTTACTAAATTATGATTGGTTAGATTAGGGCAAGGAAGCAGAATGTATGTTAAGAGAGCTCAATTCTTACATAGCATATATTTTGAAATATAAAGGTAAACACTAGAAGACAGCAGAAAGGATTTAAGATGACTGGATTTAGGAGCAAGATTGGGGTGGGAGGAAGAAATCTGTTTTTTTGTTATAAACCTTGAAATTGAGAAAAACAACTGAAAGAATACTTAAAAGTATTACTTTGATAAAAATTAAAATGAAAACTAAATTTTTAATTGAGGGCACCCTTCTCTGGGGTAATAGATATTATCCAAAGTAAGATTTCTTCCTTTTGATTGATGGTGATCTGTAAGGCTATATTATAATAAAATGGTAAAATATGATTTAAAGGTTTTCTGACTGGAGGGGCTTTCACTAGGTAGTCTTGGTTCTTCATTAATAGGAATGTCCTTGTTCTAATGCTGTAGGGACTCCAGCCCTACCTTCCTTCCTCATGGTACCAGCAATCCTAAATTTAATCATATAACTAGGGTTCCCTTATCTTTGCTTCAGTGATGTCCTAGATTCTAAAATAATAGGATAGGGATTCCTTGCTGATTTCTATACTTCTCCTGCCCTATCCCTTCATTTCAACCCACAGAGATTCAGAACAGGCACACAGGCATTAGAATATTATACTTTGCCCTTGGCCTCCCCAAGAGGATAGTTCTACATTAGGTGGTTCAGTTCAAACATTTGGAGCACCGTGGTTGTACCAGGTATTTACTGTATGTTAGATGCTAGGAGCACAAAGATAAATAAAACACAGTCCTATTCTCAAGGAACCTGTAGCTTAATAGAAGAGGCTGACAGTTGAGTAACAGTATAACAATCAAAGTATGTATAAGTTTGAGTAGCCTTTATCCAAAATGCTTGGGACCATGAAAGTGTTTTGGATTTTGGATTTTTTCAGGCTTTTTTGGGTTTTGAAATACTTGTATATATATAATAAGATATTTTGGGGATAGGATATAAGTCTAAACATGACATTTATTTATGTTTCATATATATCTTATACACATGCCTGAAGGTAATTTGATTACAATATTTTTAATAATTTTCTACATGAAACAGTTTTGACTGCCACCCACCACATGAGGTCAGGTGTGAAATTATTTACTTGTGTCATGTTTCGGATTTTGGAGCATTTCCAACTGTGGATTTTCAGATCAATTTGCTGAACCTGTATATATTAAATAAAGTACATTTCTGCTTTCTGCCCGTGGACACACTTTTACAGTGATGTAAAAGGACTATTAATATAAAATCTATAACTTGGTATATATATGCTTTTCTTTTTCTTTTAGCTACTAGACCAGTTAAAGCCTGGTGGAAGATTGATATTGCCAGTTGGTCCTGCAGGTGGAAACCAAATGTTGGAGCAGTATGACAAGCTACAAGATGGCAGCATCAAAATGAAGCCTCTGATGGGGGTGATATACGTGCCTTTAACAGATAAAGAAAAGCAGTGGTGCAGGTGGAAGTGATTTTATTTTCTGCTCTTCCTCCACACATGCAAGGTGAAAGGGTGTGGATTTTAAGACATTAGACTACAAGAGCTGTTTTTTGGTTGTCACCTTTATGCTACTCCATTATAACATCAGAAATTCATTACATTAAAAATGTGAAAATTTTGCATGCTCTGCCCTTCTTTTGGTTTAACTCATATCTTTGGGAAAGGGAGAGTGAGACTTGGTTGGCACAAAGGTGTTTTTTGTTTGTTTTTTAAGAGACTTTCAGCTGCAGTTCAGTACTTTCTAAGGATATTTTTTTCATTATCGGCCACTCTGTGTTCCTATATTTACAAAGCATTTTTATAGCTACTGTATTGGCATGGAAACAAAGGCTTCGATCTGGAAAAGAAGGGGCCTTGGTCTCTCTCTGTTGTATTAATACCATTGTTGTAAGAAGGGGAAAAGAACAGTTGTCTCAGTTTTTGAAAGTGTTAGAATCCCAGAGAGGACATTCTTTCAGCTTGATTTATCTCTTTTAGTCAGATTCATAGATGTCTGACAGCCTGTACCTGTTTTTACATTCAGTCTTTTTTCAGAGCCACCATAAGGAATAAACTTCTCATCATTCTAGAGGCCAGCCAATTTTTAAGCTATTCTTGGGGAGGGGCAGGGATTCCATAAGCGACCTAGGGAGTGCCCAGGTCTCACAAACCCACCCAAGGGCCAACAGCATGCAGCAATTTTCAGCACAGCATGGCTCATTGTAAATATAATGCCCACTTTTGTTGTATGTCTCAACATAATCTGAATATTTTGTTTGAAGCCAAGATTTCTCTTCTCTGTTTTCTTCCGGGTCCTACTCCCTTCGATGAGAGGGAGTGAGATCAGAATGTAAACGTGCCATTGGCTAAGATTACTTGAAGTTAAATGCCAAAATAAGAAAGGCTTTATAATTTCTTTATGTTAGAACCTATTTTTATTTGACATAAAGATTCTTATTTTAAGATAATTATTTTCTTAATTAAAATGGTGATAAGTTTAATAGACCTCTCAATGTTGTTTTCTAGAAAGAGGAAAGGTATTTTTTGAATGAATGTTTAATTGCAAAAATGGTAATGAATCTTAGTTCAAAGCTGTGTTTTACTTTGAATTAAATTCAGATCAGGCTTTTTTATTTTTTTGAGACAGAGCGATTTCTCACTCTGTTGCCCAGGCTAGAGTGCCGTGGCGTCAGCCTAGCTCACAGCAACCTCGAACTCCTGGGCTCAAGCAATCCTCCTGCCTCAGCCTCCCAAGTAGCTGGGACTACAGGCATGTGCCACCATGCCCAGCTAATTTTTTTCTATATATTTTTAGTTACCCAGCTAATTTCTTTCTATTTTCTTTTAGTAGAGACAGGGTCTTGTTCTTGCTCAGGCTGGTCTCGAACTCCTGAGCTCAAACAGTCCACCTGCCTCGGCCTCCCAGAGTGCTAGGATTACAGGCGTGAGCCACTGCACCTGGCCCAGATCAGGCTTTTCTGAAATATCTTCCTAGGAATTACATTTTATTCTTTACCTATAGCTATTTTCTGTGAATTCTAGCCTGGAGCATAGCTACTTCTTAAAAAAATTATTTAAAAAACTATCTTTTCAGTTAGAATTAGATATAGTTATTAACTATTTACAACCTTTCTTCATTTCTAGTATGGTTTATATGATTACATAATATTAGGTGATTACATAGAATATCATTACATGGAAATTTGATACCAAGTAAAAGTTCATATTCATTAAAAAGTTTAAAATGTTTCTTTTTGTACACAATAAATATTAGTATTAAACGTTCTGTCTATAATTTAATGATGGATTTATGAAAAGGTAGTTTGTTTTTATAATTAGAGGTGAATTTACCATGAAGCTTATGGAGCTGAAGCTCCAGAGCCCTTTCTTGCTAAGGTCCTTTCTGACCCTGTTCCTAATTTTATGTGATAGTCTTATTTATTTTTTTTTCCTTCATAAAGAGGTTCTCCTAATTAAAGAAGCCTTAGGACCCCAGAAACCCTGAATCTACCCTTGATAAAACCAAACTATTTGTTAAAAAATTTAGAATAATTTTTAAACTTATCGACAATTATTTGGTCATTTGCCAAACATGTAAATGTATACCTGTTTTTCTTTTTAGCCTTCAAATTAAAAAACAAAATCAAGCAACTTTTACATTTTGCATCACTGGAAAACTTTTTTCTAGCTGTACCAGGAGGACATTCTAATTTTTTCTGTTATAGATTTTTTTAATCTCTTCGTTCAAATATATTTCCTACATCCATAGATATGGTTCTAATTACAAAGATACTCAGTTACTTGATTGTAATTCTGGAAGTTTAAAGCATATAACTCAAGGTGAAACAAAATTTAGAAACTATATTCAGAACAAAACTTACCATATTAAAAAAAAAAATTTGTCCTTAAAAATTACTGGAAAATAGGATATTTGAGAGGGTACAATATAAACAGTTAACTTAAAATCTTGACTGTTAACCTGCTATTTCTATTTGTGTTCATAAACTATATCATCAGGGTCTAGGCAGGAAACAAGGCATACTCAGCTAGGATTTTGAAGTGATTTTAATAAAAGGACTTTCAGAGAAATATGGGAAAGATTATGGGAACCAGTAAAGGATGATGTTGTACCCAGGGACCAGGGACACCCAGGAATCTTTTACCACTCTAGGTCTAAAAGGGAAAGGGAAGGAAGCAGTTTTACTGGAACCCTTGAGAGCAGGGACAACCCAGGTAGCGGATGGAGGAGGAGGTTGGTTCCTGACAGGAGCTGTAGTGACAGAGGGAAGTAGCCCTGACCAGATCTATGAATCGCCTCAATGTTCTTTCCTCCCACGCTCCTCTGTCTTACCGGGGCATCACGTGGGCCAGACTTGCTGGAAGTCAGAGGAAGGGGCCCTGTGGCAAATGTGGTCTGAAATCAGTTCTGACCACTACTTCCTTCCCCTTCCCCCTAAGTAGGTACCCCTGCTGCTTTTAAAATTTAGGTCTGGAAGAGATTTGAGAGGTCATGTAGCTTTTATATGCCCTATTTCTGTTCCCTTTAGGCCAATCTATACTTAAACTGTTCTTGACAGAAAAAAATGTGTTTATTTTAAATTTCCTTTGGAAAAGTAACATCTAATACCTTTGCTTGGCAATTCGTTCTGTTGTTAAATATTTTTTTCAGTGTGAGGACCTTGTTAATGTCATTCATTCAACCAGTATTTGTGTACCTGCTATGCCAGGCACTGTACTAGGTGCCAGGAATCTTCAGCTGTGAATTTGAAACTGACTGTTCTCATGGAGCTCATATGAAGAGGCATGTAAGAGATCAAGACAAACAGGCAGTTACAGTGTAGTGTGTTCAGACTCACAGTAAGGAGCAATTGAAATGTTTCAGCCAGGCAGTGAAGTTATCAGACTTACATTTCAGAAAGATAACTCCAGCTGTCATGTACACACTAGATTGGAAAGGGACAAAACTAGAGTCAGAAACAGGAGGGGGCTGTAAGAGTTCAGGGGTGAAATGACAGTGGCCTGAATTAAGGCAGTGCTAGTAAGGATAGAGAAAAGTGGATTGATAACTACATCTAACAACTGGTCACTGTTTTCTAAGTGTCCATTCCACATTTGGGAATTATCATCTAAAATGTTCCTTGGTCAACCTCTTGCTAGGCGAGATGATTTCTGTTGTTTCAGACTTTCTTCAGGATTAATTTAACAACTCACAGTGCTTTCTTAGGAACCATCTCTTGTTTCTCACCAGCTTTGCATCCTTCTTTTACTGAGGGATCCAATGAGGATGAGATCCAATTTTTGCTGAGGAGGTGTGACAGAAACCATATTTTAAAAAATGAGAGCTAGTGGGCATGCTGAATTCTAGTACCAAATAGAGCCCCAAGCTTGAATGTAGGCTTATGTCTCCTTATACCTGGAAAAAAGTCACTCGCAATTTTGGTGGATTAACAGAAGGTGAAAGAATGCCGTAACTACAGGCCATAGGCCATAGACCCAGAATCTGTGGTATTATGTTCATGATTGTGGATATGTAATACTGGTATTAGTTGCTTCAGAAATGGAATGCTTTTAAAATTTGTATTTTAAATAAGTATCTTTATTATATATATATAAAAATCAATATTTTGTTAATCTGGTGAAAGTTTTATATTTGGTTTTGGTGGGGTTTTTGTTGTGTTTTTTTTTTTTTTTTGGTTTTTGAGACTGTTTCACTCTGTCAGCCTGGCTAGAGCACAGTGGCATCATCATAGCTTACTGCAACCTCAAACTCCTAGGCTCAAGCGATCCTCCCATCTCAGCCTCTCAAAGTGCTAGGAGTACAGGTGTGAGCCATTGCCCCCTGCCTGATTGTGCATTTCTAAGGTTGACAGCATAGGTCCTAGGGTCTCAAGTTGACCCTATGTTCCATATTCTATATTGTTCCTTTTTTATTTTTTTACATATGTTATAGCATTGTGACATATTTTGTATCCTTAAAGCCAGGGATATATTGTTACTTTTGAAATTCTTTTTGTGTCTCTCATAATGCATTGTGTGAAGCAAATTGTACAAAGCTTTTTTGGGGGGCGGCGGGGTGGGGGAGGGGCAGAGTCTGGCTCTGTTGCCCAGGCTGCAGTGCAGTGGCGTCCATCATTGCTCGCTACAACCTCAAACTCCTGGGCTCAAGTGATCCTCCTGCCTGACGCTACAGGCATGTGCCACCATGCCTGGCTAATTTT